TTTAAGTCCATATAGAGACTTTTTTAGCTTGCATACCTTAGTTCCAAACTTCTCAGTGAAACCAGGTGGAGGCTCCACATATACTTCTTCCAAGTATTCATTCAAAAAGGCATTCTTCACATCCAGTTGATTCAATGGTCAGTCAAGGTTAGCTGCAACAGATAAGAGTACTCGAACTGTATTTAGTTTCTCCACTGGAGAAAAGGTCTCAGAGTAGTCCATTCCATACGTCTGAGTAAAGCCTTTAGCTACTAGGCGAACCTTATATCTCTCAAAGGATCCATCTGAGTTGTACTTTAGAGTGAACACCCATTTACAACCAACAATTGTCTTTCCATCCGGCAGATCCACTTTCTCCCAAGTAGCATTCTTTTCCAAAGCTCTCATCTCCTCAAAAATAGCTTCTTTCCACTCGGGAACATTTAAAGCCTCCTGGATACTATTAGGAATGGAAACACTAGACACTTGTGAAATAAAGGCACAATATGAAGGTGAAATATTTTTGTAAGATACAAAATTTGACAGAGGATGTTTTGTACAAGACCTAACACCTTTCCTAAGAGCAATGGGAAGATCAAGTTGACTAGAAGAATTAGAATTACCTGGAGGAATATTTTCAGGTATTTTTGGAGATTTATCATGAATTTCATGATCCACCCTTAGATCATATTCTTGTTGATGTTGCGGAATAGTGCCTCTCCTTTTTAGTGCTAGATGTTCCCTTGAGTATACAAGGCCTTTATACTGTTTCGCACACATCTCTGTTGTTTCAGCTTTTTTATTTTGAGATGGCATCACCGAAGGTTGTACATTTTCAATATTTAATTCATTTGTTTCCACTAATTTTGTATTTTCTGCCTTACTTTCTTTCGGTGACTGGTTGTGAGGAACATCATCATTATGGACAAATTCAAACATTAAATCAGAACCAACTAAAAGACCATTTTCACTAGTGTTGCTCTCCCCCTGAAGATGGGAGTGTCTGTAGTAGGAGGTTCTTTCAAAGAATGTGACATCCATAGTCACAAACATCCTTTTCAAAACTGGATCAAAGCATTTGTAACCTCTCTGATTAGTGGGATAGTCTACAAAAATACATTTATGTGCTTTTGGATCAAGTTTTGAACGTTTAGGATCATGGTTATGAACAAAGGCCACATTTCCAAAAATTTTTAAGGGAATGTTTGTCACTAGCCGAGAGTTTGGGAAATATTCAGTGAAAACCTGTATGGGTGTTTTAACTTCAAGGAGATGTTTGTCATGGCTTCTCCCCAAAGATACTTAGGAACCTTAGTTTGAAAACTTAGGGCTCTATCAACTTCAAGGAGATGTTTGTTTTTCCTTTCAGCCACCCCATTTTGTTGAGGTGTATTATTACACGAACTTTGGTGTACAATTCCTTTCTCAGCAAAAAAATTCCTTAACACATTGTTAAAAAATTCCTTTCCATTATCACTTYGAAAAATTTTAATCTGAGTTTGAAATTGTGTTTGAACCATGTTATAGAAAGTTTTACAAACAGTTTCAACATCTGATTTCTCTTTTAAAAGGAAAACCCAAGTGACCCTAGTATGATCATCAATAAAAGTAATGAACCAACGCTT